AAATATCCAACGGAGTTATCTTGTAACTCAGTGCTTTAAAGCAACCTTTTTATGAAGGAAACACCAAAATAATATTTAATGCCTTTTCTTTTGTCTTCTTTTTATTCTGGCTTCACTTGAGGTTAAGCGAGTTAGCAGAAAACTTTGGGTAGATTATTGGTAGGTGAGGAGATATTTTGATTTTACTTATTCTTGGTATTCCTGGAGAAAGGGATTTATTTTCTGAGTTAGTAGGCACCAAAACAAAAGGATGTTGGCTGTTCCATTTTTATTATGTTTGGACACAAGGATTTCTTTGATTTCACTTGCAAATTCTGTAATACTTTATTAAATATAGAAATTGGGTTTGCCCATCCTTTGTTAGTTTTGAGTTTCTGCTCTTTTCAAGTCAGAGTATTTTGGTGCTGCATCCAAAACGAGACTCTTTAGAAGATTGCGTATGTGGGAAGTATTTCAAGGTCTGGTTTAATAAACTCTCTTTAAAGTTTAACCGAATCCTTTTGCAGCAACTGGAGCTTCTACTACTGTCTATGCAGTTGAAGCTAATGGAGACCCTAGTGGTGACTTTGACACTGAAAAGGATGAAGGTGAAGTCCAGTACCTCATCAAGTGGAAGGGTTGGTCGTATATCCACAGCACGTGGGAGAGTGAAGAATCCTTACAGCAGCAGAAAGTGAAGGGCCTGAAAAAACTAGAGAACTTCAAGAAGAAAGAGGATGAAATCAAACAATGGTACATTTTCCATCATGGATTAAAACAATATGTTTGCAGCCTGAGAGAAGGGAAGGTTTTTAAATAATGCATGGAGAGCACAGTTATCTAGGATCTGAAATTCTGTGTTGATCCTCTAAACATGGAGCTGTTTGCAGTTCTATTTTTTATAAAATTCTGACCTGAAGTCATTATATATTTTTATATACAGCCACTGCGTTTTTGGAGTTTAATAGTATTAACTATGCTAAGTGACCATTTTACACCCCTTAGCTCTTTCATTCTTGCAATAAAGCTTTGACATTATACTGTCGTGACCCCTGTTGTACAGCGGGAAAAGCGAGGGCACGGTATTTGCTAATGAGCAACTCTGCAGGTGGAGCCAGGATTTGAATTCTGGCAGCCTGAGTCCAGAGCCCATGCTCTTAATCTTCAGCTCTTTGTTATTTGCCTAGTTATGCCTACCTTTGAGGAGTTGATATGCTAGAATGCTCTGGGTCAGGATACACTTAAAAGAAATCTTGGTTTTACACAATTGCAAAAATGATGCGAAGGAAACAATTAGAGAACATCTATAAGTGTAATAGTCCATTGTGTTTCTAGTTTATTTGCAGCTTTGGGTGTGTTAGATTGCGTGTGAGAGAGATGTGGGGCTACAGTACACATAAACCGAAACTGAGTAATAAGAGATACCAAGTCAGCCCTGAAGACCTACCTCTCAGGTTATTTTGTGTTAGGATTAGGGACAGATGGGTTTTAACTCTGGTGTTACTACTATGCAGAATGTGCCACTTTAGTAAATCACATATTTACTCATAAAGTATGTATGCCTACGTTAGGGGTATAAGGTCCCTATGTGGTACAACTGGTTTGCTCTTGAGTGCTAAAGGTTGGCTGTCCAAACCCACCCAGTGGTACTGTGGAAGAAAAAGGCCTGGCAGTCTGCTTCCTTTAAGTAACAGCCAAGGAAACCCTA